ATCGATCCGTTCGAAAGGATGAAAGATATTGGTCATTTTAATAAGGATAAGCCAAGTGTGTACGAGAGGGTAATTGTTCAACTGACTTGCACGAACAAGGCATTTCAAGTTTCAAATTACTATTTGAATGTTATTATCTCTGGTGTAAATTACCCTGTGCCTACGCTTGGTTAACCAGATACTTCGTGTGTTTGTTCGTCATCTATATTCTACGATACAATGACATGAGCGTGTTGCCATTCAAAATTGAGGATATAGATGACAGAAGGAGGTCACCAAATGAACTCTTCGACGATTTTCCAACATAGGGCGTCAACTTGAGAAGGGTTTTAGGCGTACTGTTGTGAGTCCTACAATTCTTCAAGGGTAGTTCCTCAAGGCAGGATCCACAACATTTGACGTATTGATTGTATATATGTTAGTGTTAAGTAATTGAGCGAGTTCCAATTGATGTAATTGTTGGGTGATCTTGTTTGTGTCCGGACATTCTACAACTTACAATCGTCAGCCTGAGAAGGGTTGCAGGCGTACTGTTGTAAGTCCTGCAATTCGTCAAAGGTATTCCATCAAGACATAATCCGCGAGGTTATTTGTACTCTTCGTATATACGTAAGGTGTGTCATATCAATTTGTGTTTTTTGGATTCATTGTGTTTACTCGATGTTTTCGTATCTTGTTATTATGCATAATTTCGCTAAAATTTTCATCGTGCCTACTTCTGAAATTGTTTCTAGTCTTCCGATTCCGTGAATGAACTGATTGATGTTCAAGACAGCAGATGGGTCGTGTACGCCGGGGAGGCTATTGCTGAGAATGATATACACACGGAGACAATTGTTCGCTGTGGTACCACACGCTGGGGAGCGAGAGTGTAGGCGGCTGCTGCTCGCACACGTCACCGTTACTAGAACTGAGGCAGAATGAGTGACAAGCGATTTCAGTGGTAATTGGTAGCGAATACATAAGAGGATGAGCGTAGAGTATCATGAGGTGGTGCTATGGTCACGTTGCATTCTGCAAGAGTCATTCTAGCAAGTGGCGGTTGTGTTGCAAGATGTCAAGAGGGTGCCTTTAACTGGAAGCCACAGGACTCCATTGATGTGTGAGATTGTGCTGTGGGTATGCTTGTGGTGTGTTGGCTTTTCTGTTTGTTTTCCATTTCAGCTCTGTCCGTGTGACCCAGGTTCTCGCAATGGCATCCAAGTCAAGGTGTATTGGTCGTGATGGAAAAAAGGGATGAATCCCTTTTTTGCCGGGGAGTGTCAATGTATTGAAGATTGAACGATCAGTTCATGACAGGAGCTGATGAGGATTACTAAGGAAAAAATCGAAACAACAATCAGCACCAATGACCGTCAACAGGCGAGATTTATTTGGGGTTACTCCTTTCATTTATCTGGTTAGTAAGCGTCGTTTCGACTAGAGGCGTAAGAGATGCAGATGTCGAATTCAGAATCGGAAAGGCAAGATACGCCTTCGTCAGCATGAAACTAATTTGGAAATCATGCACACTAACTGAGCACAGAGGACAAGAATCGGATTATCAACAAAAGCGTCAGGCGAGTGCCTCTACTTGGTTCATAAATTTGCACTGCGTGACACGAAACGACTTCCAACAGCTTGCAAACTTTCCTCAATAGTTACCCTAGTTGGCTGCATACTGAAGATCGTTTGACCGGCCTGCAGGTCAGAATTGGTAAAAACGGATTCTGGCGATGAAGAAACTACCCAAAAGCTTACTGGTCATCAAATATGTAGAAGAAAGTGGAGATGGATCCGACATACATTGAGGAGGCCGCCGAACGATATCGCGCCAGAGTGTAATCCCAGTGGAAAGCGATCAATGGTTTGTCCACGGGTGACACTGCGGTGATCATGTGAGGAAATCTGAGAGCATTTGTCCAATCTTGCACAAATGAAGAGGACTGCAGGAAGCAATATAAACTGTAAATATGTTGTTGAAGCCCCATTTCCCACCTTGAAATCAGGTGAATAATCATAAGTACAGTAAATCAGCCGGTATTTCTTCTCATATTCTCACTTAAGTTAAAAACAGGGAAGTATGCTATACCAAACGACTCCAAAACCTTTAAATGATCAGGTTAATACACCTGCGCCGAATAATGCAGGGTGGACCGCGTGAAATGACAGTTTGCGGCTCTAGAATGAAACACATGTCCCCGAAGCGGCGAGAAAATCCATAAGATTTAAGGTTTTCTAGTTGTCACTGTTTGAAGTTTGATGATCCAGAAACCTCTGTTGGTATGCTGCAGAAGCATCAGCCTAGGTTAACAGCTTGCTACTCAAATGCATGCTGCCTGCTTCACAAACGGACTGATTTGCGTAATATGATAGACTCCTGAAACTCGGACATATTTATCGTCACAGAGACATGGCTAATATCCGATGCCTCTGACAAAGTAGCTAACCCGCCAAACATCGAATTGTTTTGGGATGAATGAATAAGTCACAAAGAAGGTGGCGTAGTCATCTGCCTCGAGAAGTGCCCAAGCATGCGTAGCACTAGAGCTCTAACATACGAAAAAGAAACGTGAGAACTTCTACGCAGCAGACTTAAAAGATATTGAACTGATTCCTACACACCACAGTCCTTAGTGGGATGCAGACGGCTTTCTATTAGATAAGCCAGGCTCCTGACATGGAATTGTCGATATCTCGAAGTCAGCGACCACAACGCCTCAACGGTAGGTAAGTATACAACTTGTGGATTGTGGATGAGCATAACTCCATTATGGATAAGATTTTATTTTGATAAATCACACAGCGTTATACAGTAGCATTAAGTTATGACGTTTCGGGCACAAACTATTACTCATAATCATGCCATGTTACTCACACAACACCCAAAACCCAACAGCTGACTGGGCAAGCCTTACACCGTCATTTTCAGGCAATTCCTTTGACTACAAACTGATGGTATCTAGCATTTCACCAGCTCCACAACAACATGTCATGATCTAGGTGTCATAGTAAGTCACGGCTTCATGATTATAGCACATTGCTGCTTGGTGGCTGCCCGTGGTTTCAGATCCTCACGGGTGATTCACAGAGCCTTTAAAAGAATAACCGGAGATGTGTTCATCTCCTTGAATACATCTCTGGTGAGCTCAAGACGGAAAAACTGTATCTAGACAGCCAATCCCTGTCTTAAAGAGGACTCACACATTCTAGAAAGGGTTCAAAGGAAGGCGACACGTATAATTTCCGGCATGTCTAATTTATCATATGAGGAAAGACTAGACGTTTTAAGTGTTTTCTCCCTATCATACAGAAGATTTAATTACAATATTTAAAACCTGAATAATGACTAGAGACTTGACTTATCCTCTCTTTTCCTTCTCACCAGGTCGGAACACCTTAGAGGACATAAAAAGAGAGTTCAAAAGCCAAGGAGAAACTATATTGCTGTGGAGTACAGGTTTCCGCACACAGTCTTAAACTCCTCCCTGAAGAAGCAGTATCAGAGCCCCCAAATGATTCATTCAAGAGGGGTTTGGGCAAGCACAGAAACTTACTAGAAAAAGACTAACATAAGCTCCAAGCCCTGTATCCTAAATCAACAAACCTAAGTCTAAATAATATACAAAAGCAAACAACTTGGTTTGAATCCAATGGACGAATGATAAAAATTAATCGTTAGAGTACAAGGTCCTTTCGTAAGGTACTTATACCGCTTTCATTATTGTACAATTCGAGTTGAAGAATGTCCTTCAAACACATTTGAAAATTGAGTGAATGGACATATCTTCTCTAGAAATAAATACACTCTCATTCGTCGTGTAACTGCTAGTAGAACAAAATAGCATGCTACTGTAAGCCAGCAAACGTGCATTGGAATAAAAGTGAGTCCTTAAAACTCTTTCAATATTAAATAGTCGTTAATTTCCTTAATCTCGCCTCAATCTATTTACTAAATCCCTGTTTCTACGATATCTTTTATGGTCTTTTGATCTACTCAAACATTTCTTTCGTTTTGTGCTTTTCAGGTTAAGCAAACACCTCTGAATAATAACAATTTTAGAAACTTATTAAAAAGAGAACATCTTAATCAAAGTTCTCGAATTGAACGCTTATAAAGTTAGCATGCTGTAAATACAGTGGGGGAAGATTTCAAGTGATGGCGTATACTTCGACTGTCTTCATGATTCCATTTTTTCGGTGATTTAATTACAAACATTGCACGTGTTGATAAGATGTTAATAACTGAAAAAGATGCCTTAGTGGAGCTTGTCCTGAATCATGATTTATTTTATAGTAATATTTAAGGAATCAGTAAGCCATCTCAGAGGCGATATCCAATAGGTGACTATTATCTCGTACTCTACTGCCATAACAGTAGTTCAAGAACTGAGTTTTTTTACTACTACACTTGACATTTCAATGAAAGTACAGTAATACACAAAAAAAAATGATGAATACAGTAATATGTTCAAGATTTTCATATTTTCCATGATTGTATCTTGGATGAAAAGATTTCATAGCAGAAACTTAGTTTCAACATTTCTGTGAATGGAAAATCACTATGGTATAATAACTTAAGTAAGCTAAGTTGAAACTAAACGGGGTGGGAACTACCGATCGAGCTCATAAATGACATTACACACATTGAAATTACTGAAGTAACATATTTTCATTAAAATTAATCGGATTTCAATCAGAACACCTGTACAAAGACTTTTAATACCACTTGAGAATTAATTAAAACCATTTTAGTGGTATAAACAGTGTTAACCAGGCAAACAGTAAGAACGAATTTGCGATGGACAATTGTTATACCTCCTTTGAGATTGTTGAGTAGTGCACACCAGAGACTGGCTGTCCAAACCTCAGTAAAATGAGTGGTAGCCAAAGCCATGACCTACTGGTTGGAAGTCAGGCGTCTAAACAAAATTACTGAGATGTAATAAAATACGTGGCGTATGGTGAATTATGGGAAGTGCTTACAAGCCATCATATACATATATGTATGAAGGAAATATACAACAATTAAAATATATATTTAGAAGCCTAATTCGATTATATGAAAAGTACATACACATCACTAGTGCTGAGATAAAAGAACCAAAAAAAACTAGAAGAGGTGTGCTTTGGAAAGGAAACAAAATACATAGTGAAGACAAATCAGAAATGTAAAGAGAAAAAGGACAAATGACAAAAAGTTAGCATACACATATTACACTTGGTAAACAAAAAAGTAAAGAGTAGGTTTATAAACAACTAGTCTAAAAATAAGAGGTCTTTTTTGTAGGTGTATTTCAAAGTAACATTTTCATATACACATGCAGAACAGATTCTTGTACAAAAACAAATAGAAAAAAACATTAGTTTTCATTTATAAATCGTCTTTCAGTTCTTTACCAGTGACAAAATGAACCTCCCATTGATCGTTTACTAAAAGTTCGGGTTTACGAACAAAAACAGTTTGAGGTGTGTACGTGGAACCACTACCAGAAAGATGAATTGGTGGATTAACTGAAAATTCTACATTTCTACGTGGTTTATGCTCTTCAATAACAGTAACTCTTTCTAATGTGCTATTTAATCCAACAATAACAATACGTTCAATTCTCGGAATAACCATTTCGTTTGTAGAAGAAGAAATAGATATTTCACCTGGTAATGGTAAACGTACTAAACGCAATCGTCCACCATGCATATATCCACCTGTTGGATCTACAACTCGATCATAGATAATTTTGAAAAATTGTGCATTTAACTTGGAGGTAGAATGAAAATCATCAAAATATATGTAACCAGAAGCATTAGGCTCTTCAGGATCCAAACACACGATGAAAGTGTATGGATCATCACGCATAAGCCATGAGGAACGACGTATGCGTTCTTTTCTCGGTATAATCCAACCACCTCTATAAAATGTAGGTATGGATGATAATGTGACGGGATACTGCACTAACTGTTCACCTGTATAGACCTGGATTGAAAAACAGAAAGTTGGTCGTAATAAGCCAGAAAAGAAAGTGTATAACACGAAATAACATAGATATATGACTTAGAATGTCAATAAACTATTTAAATCTTAGTAATTATTTCATTGAAAAATTCAAAATGGTGAAAGACTTTCTCATAAAGTCTTTAATATTCAGAGAGCTGTTGATAAGGTAAATCTAAAAGTAAATGCCACTGGAATATAATACTGTCGCAAATTATAAGTCATTCCAAAATATTCTCGAAATAATTATCTCATCAAGTGATGACCATAAGATCCTCAGAGTATTTTTAAACCAAAAGAGAACAAGAACATATAAAGTGACTGATAGCTATAGATGAAAAACCGACGTTAAAAAATCAACAACATAAATGTGCATCAAAACGACTTGCTGAACTCCAAACCAATACATAACAAAGTAGAAAACACGGAAAGAACGATGTTTTAGATGTCGAGCTGTAACTTATCGTCAACTGCATGGACATACAACTGATCATTGATTAAAATTTCATTTCACTCTAACTGATAAACATTTGTGAAGGGAAAGGAAATACTTAATTGAAGAATAGACATTCAAAATATCTTAGTGTTAAAAAGAAAACAAGAAGCTCAGAAAAGGTATATTTTCAACGACTCTATTCGTCACACCTTTAGTATTAGAATTTTATACAGTTTTTTGTCAACTAATGATAGATACAGATAGACACTAAGTCAAACAAATGTTAAATCTTTAAAATATGAAATAGTAATTCAATACAGACATTTCTCTCAACTTTTTACTGATTTGAGAAGTTACAACAATCTTAATGGGCACGCTAACGATGACATATAAGTGTGGATATAAAAGGCTCCTTAAGTACTTACCATGTGTGAGACACATACCCGCTTATCAAAACGATACTAGTAAAGTGCAACAGTTTAGACAGTCAAAATTTACCACGGTATGATATGCCGGATGAAAGTGGAAGACCATGAGAAGATTAGTGGTTTCTGATGACATATGTCCAGGTTAAATTTCTTGAATTTGATGGAATCGTAATGATAATTATGTTTAGGATTAGATGTAGGGTTAGGGTAAGTCAGTCGTTGAAACTGTGAACTTTCATCAATTGAGTTATAAACTTTCTTTACAAGAAATGTTAGGCTAAGTAGGATTAAGAAAGCTTGTGCCGAGGTATGGCATTGGTTCCTGAAGTTATTGATTGTTTACTTCAGCTAAGTAGATAGATGTAGACTGCCTAAGTGATTTCCTTGAGGGGTTAAGAATCAATGGTTACAGACTCTTATTGGTAACTCAAACTCTTCCGTAGATGGATTTATATCTTATCGCCTTCAATATCCCAGGCATTTTGACTAGTTAGATGGTAAATCTTTCATATATTTGTGTGTTTGGATAAGTTCTTGTCAATTTTGCCATTTGCAAATGATACATCTTAAACTGATGCATTTCTGCGCAAAATTCTACGTTGGCCCGTTGAAGCGATTTCTAGTCTTCGCTTTTATACACCATCACTAGGTGTCTTCAATAAAGCCTAAAAATGCTATTCATGACAAAATTAAGAAAATCTACATGAGATAACAGTGTGGTATGGCAATTCGAGTTCGAACTATAATATGCATAAAATCTCAGCAGATGCATTCACATTCACCTAGAGGATAAGCGATAAACATAGTTGAATCGAAATTTACAAATAAAAAAGTGGCAAAAATTCAATCATCACTATTACGAAAACCCAGTAGCAATAATCTGTCAAAAACGTAAATGAAAACCAACCTGGAACAAACTAAAAGATCTCCAAATGTCATCTGTATGTTAAATACTATCACTGAAGACTGAAATGTTCACTTTTTAAAAACTATATCATGAGACAACAAATTACCGATTTCTTATTCGAAATAGATACAGTTCGGAAGGATAGTAATACTAATATGCTTTAGATAAACCGTAAAACAAATATGATTATTGTTTCAACCATAGTTAGCCAAATCTCAAGCAAAAACTCACCTCGAATGACGGATTGTGATACCATGTTCCTTTAGGGAAGTATATTTGTACATGACTAGCACCTTGGGAAGTGACAGGATTTACAAGTAAAGCTTCACCAATCATATATTGTTCCTCCAAGGCAAATGTATTCACGTCTTTAGGAAAATGATACCAGATTGGCGCCATAACTGGTTGGCCATCTGCTTCTGACCGAGCAAATGTAGTATACCAATAGGGAAGTAAATTGTAACGTGCTTGTATAGCTTTCCTATGAAATAAAAACCGTTAGTGAAATGATTTATTATTCAAGCGTAAAGAATATTGGCTATTAGATCACAGAAAATGATATTTCTTATTACTGAATGTAAATATTAAACAAATTACAATGTATTTTACACATAAAGCACTTACAGAGTCTGAGAACCAACCTAAACATAAAATGAATAACAACTACGTAATCCACCTTGTTTAAAAACTTCACTTCCTATATTTGAATAAAGAATTTGCTTGAAAAGCCTAATTTTTCACCCAAGGAAACCAATATTAAGAGGTTTTCCGCTTGTTTGGTTAACTTTTAGTGGCAATATTTATAATTTTGTCACATACAAACACATATAGACACTTCAGAATGTACTTAATTTTTCTATGATGTCTGTTGTACTTTGTGTTGACCTCTGTTCACTCATACTTGTGAGTCGTAATCATCTAAATCAATATTATTATATATTAATATTTCCAGTCACTGTTAAATTACACACATACACACAACAACAAACATACTTGCTATATCTATAATAATGATAATAATAATAAGAAGAAGAATAACAATCCATAAATGAATACAATTGAAGAATAAGAATAAAATCATCTTTATGAGTATTTTCTTTTCTAAAATCTTTGCTTTATGTCTCGATATAGAATATTAATCTTACCGACCGAAAGCTGCTACCTTGACGTGGTGGTCGGGCTTGAACACCGCAATGACCTAATCAAGCTATACTGGCTGAGACTTACGTCTCTTGAGATTCTACCATGCCAGAAAGGTTGTTTGGATAGCGGTTAAACAAAAAGCAGCTACCCATCCAATACCATGATTCAAACAAATTCACAAAATATCCTGCCGGATCGGTCGGGGCCCGGATTAACAACGACCGCGCTTCCTGCTGCCGTGTCAAATGGCAGGAGAGATAAATATGCTACTGAGACACACAAAACAATAAAGAACAAACAAAAACAACCCGCGTGTGACCGGCCTCAAGCAGTTGTCCCCTGGGCTCTGTGGTCACGCAACCAACTTCCACGGTGTGGGCGGCCGGGAAGTAACAATCGCCCTCACAATCCGAAACGCACGCGAAACCTCTCTATTACTCACTCATCTTTTTCTTCATCTTCATCTCTACCATCTTGCCTTCCTTCCATTGATGCAACTCCTCTGCTTGATAGCTCTTCACTTCCTCTCCACTCTGTGTCCACTAAAAACGACGGAAGCCAAAAAACCACCACCGATAGTCTCCTAAAGCCACGCCACCAATTTCATATAGGAGCATTTAATGTTAGGACACTTTGCCAAATAGGACAACAAGCATCACTAGCCAAGACCCTGGCATCCTGAGCCATTGATGTATGTTGTGTTTCAGAAACACGCATACAAGACCCAAGTGTGGTTATTCACCTAACCCCACCTGGCCAACAGGATGAATCTGCAAAATTCACCTTGAGGGTGTCAGGAGATGCCACAGCCAGTTCACGAGGATTAGCTGGCGTAGGGATAGCCTTGAGTACTAGGGCAGAAAAGACATTGCTTGACTGGATCCCGGTAGATAGCCGAATGTGTGCTGTCCGTCTGAACGGATCAGTAAGAAGGAGAAAGGACTGCACTACTCGCCGATGCCTTTTCGTAATCTCCGCCTACGCCCCCACTGACTGCAGTTCGGATGAAACGAAGGATGAGTTCTACCAAAAGCTGTCTAGTTTGGTGAGAAAGGCTAAACGCTCAGATATAGTCGTTCTAGCTGGTGACTTTAATGCTCAAGTAGGGAAATTGTGTCAATCTGAGAAGGATGTCGGTGGCACCTATGGAGTTCCGTGCCAGCGAACCGACAACGGTGACCGTCTCCTACAGTTCTGTTCAGATAATCATTTGTTTCTTGTAAGCACTAACTTCAAACACAAGGAGAGTCACTGTTTAACCTGGCGACCCCCATCATCAAACCAACGCTGGACACAAATAGACCACATAGCAATAAGCTATCGTTGGCGTGGGTCGGTAGGAGATTGTCGCTCCTTCTGGAACACGTGTGTAGATACCGATCACGCAGTGATCCGCGCTCATGTGTGCTTACGACTGAACGGACGTAGGAAACAGCTGGCGGTAAAACCATCACGTCCCCAGCTCGATCAGGAAACTAAATCCTTATTTGAGGAAGAACTAGCTAAACACATATCTGTGTTCGACAGCTGTGCTCACCCTGGAGAAGCTTGGAAGAATATCCAGGCAGCCATAGATACAGCTGTAAAAGCTGTGAATAAGGTAAATCCAAAGGTGAGTAAAAACCACTGGATTTCGACTGCCTCATCCGAACTGATAGATGCTAGAAGACTTATTCCGGCGAGCTCCGAATTCAATGAGGAGCGAAAGCTGCACAAAAGGAAACTTACTAAAAGTCTCCGCAAGGACCGTGAACAGTGGTGGCTGACAAAGGCGAAAGAGATGGAAAAAGCATCGGCGACAGGCAACACTTTAGACTCATCAGGGAAACGGGTGGGAGAAGGCAAATCATAAGTGAGACTATTTCTGAGAAAAATGGCTCCTTAATTAGCTCTCAGGATAGACGCCTTGAACGCTGGAAAGAACACTTTGAGGAACAATTTAACTTGCCTACAGCCACACTGAACCTCCCCGCCATCCACCACACACCCAAATGGGATATAGACACTGGTCACAAAAGCTATCAGTAATTTGAAACGAGGCAAAGCGGCAGGACCCGACGGAATTATTCCGGAGGTGTTTAAATATGGGGGTGACATACTAGTTTGTAGATTAACTAAGGTACTAGGCAATGTCTGGGAATCAAAGACGGTTCCATCAGACTGGGCTGAGTCACTTATTACACCGATATTCAAGAAGGGAAACAAGTCCTCGTGTGATAATCATATGGATATCAGCTTAACGAACATAGTCTCTAAAATCCTAGGCTCAGTAATCATGCATAGCCTAAGCAGAACTCTTCACTCTCCGACAGATTCTAGAACATAGACACACTTTTTGGCGTCCAACAATTACCATATTTCTTGACTTGAAGGCGGCCTTTGACTCTGGATCGAAAGGTACTATGGCAATGCCTGACTGAGAAGGGAGTGCCAAGTAAGTACATTGCACTAATCAAGTCACTCTATTCAAACTCACGTAGTCATGGAAGGGCTTATGGGGAATTGTCATCTGAATTGATAACAACCAATGGTGTCCGACAGGGATGTCCACTTTCCCCATTCCTGTTTAACTTCATCATAGATATGCTAATGGAAATATCCTTAACTGAACGTAACGACTTAAGAATCGACTTGTTAGCAGGGAATAGTCTTATGGACTTGGAATATGCAGATGACATAGTCCTGTTAGGGGAGGATGCTGGCAAAATGTAGAGTCTTCTGAGCTGCAATCTTCATATGGTTGGCATGAGATTCGTCCCTGGAAAATGTAAGATGTTGCTACAGGACTGGACTACGTCAACTCCTAGCTTAGTGATAGGGAGTGAAATGATAGAACATGTTGACCACTTCACCTATTTGGGAAGTTGTATCAGCACCAACGGACTGATTGGCAACGAAATCTCAGCACGGATCCAAAAAGCTCGAGTTGCTTTCGCTGACTTACACCATCTCTGGCGTAGGCGTGACATTTTGCTATCAACCAAGGGACGTGTGTACTGCTCAGCAGTTCACTACGTCCTTCTCTATGGCTCTGAAACATGGCCAATACGAGTTGAAGACATGAAAAGGTTGACTGCTTTCGATCATAGATGTCTGCGATCTCTTTCTCACGTTAGGTGGTTTAAAAAGGTAAGCAATGTCGACGTCTAGGCGTAGTGTTGCGCATGCCTAACCATCGCCTCCCCCGACGGGCAATACTAGCTGATATAGGTTCAGGTTGGAAAAGTGCAAGTGGTGGCCAAACAAAAACATGGCGTCAATCCATGAAATCCTTGGCAGTTAAACTGAGTCAGGTAGGGAGATTCAGACTTCCGGGTTGGGGCCCTCTGGACTCTAGGAATCAATGGCTGGAGGCAATAGGTGACATGGCTCAAAATCGTTGTCAGTGGCGCAGATGTATTCAGTCTCTGTAATCTTTCATATTCCTTTCTACCATTACCTATTCTGTTTCGCTCTTATACTTGTCAAACTCTATTGATTGTCTTCACTCATCTTCTTGTCTACCTTTGTGTGCTATTTGGAACGTGGCAACTCGAATTGGTGCACTTCGGTGCCAAGTTCTATGTTGAATCCAGACAGAGACATCAATCTAACCTTCATAATCTTAAGCCTCAGGCTAACTGGATTTGGTATTTTGTTTCCAAACACTGGGTCACGAAATCAAACATTGCTTCACCAACAGAATTTGGACAACTGAGTCGTACCATTGAGGTGAGTGCTACTGATAAGATTTCTCAGTATTTGAACTCGTCAAATTGAATTATGCACTGAAGATGTCGCCTAATAGTGCGATGAAAGCTTCACACAAACTATCCAGCTAGGAGAACACAACCATATTAAAAGATACACAGGAGACGTGAAAGGAACACAAAGAAACACAATATGAAGGCCAGAAGTACCACAACATGAAGGTCTGTGCAAAGTGTACGTTGAAGAAACGATGTATATAATTTAGCTATATAGAGATACCAAATCCTAAATAAGCATTCCTTTACCAAGTCTTCGTCCTCTACCGCTTCACCATCAGCTCTCACAAAAGAGGTGTGGCACAATAAGAAATCAATTAACATGCCTGAAATGGCTGGATAACACTTATTTTAGCGAATCTCAGCTTGCTCACTAAAATTTTCTGTGCCAAATTTTCAAACAGGCAACGTTAGAATAAAAGGAGTTATCCGACTATGCAGATTCCAAAATACGGCTTTAAGTCAGATTTCCTTGTAGACTCAGTTACCCGGAACGGAATTTTCATTTCCTAAGCTAAGAGCCACATTTATCGTGAGAGCTGGTGATACTGCCCAATTGACTAGATTGAAGTAGGTGGGGCGAGACTCGAACCAGCGTCGTTCCATTTAATCCACCTACTTAAAGTTGGGAAACTGTGGGAGAGGCTGGAAAATTACATTTTAGAAGCAAAGTTTATTCTTTAATGGCAAGACAGTTACGTTCTTTGCAGAATAAATATATTATGGGCAGAGGTTGTAAACTTGACCTCAATAGTGGGAGGTGTTACATAGCAACCATCCACCAAAATAGGCCAAATGCGACTGTTAACCTCTACCATCCAGTTTACATCGAGTGTCTAGCATAACAAATACGACTGTAAATATAACAGGTCACTCACTGTGTAATAAACAGTTAACCGGTCTCAACAATTATACGTTTTCCCCAAACAATTATGTTATTTAGACTACCTTGATACGAATAAACCGAAAATAGTGAAGTAAGCCCATAAATACTCAACAAGTACAAAGACGATCAGAGGTTTAACTCAATTAAACGGAGTGGATTTTCCACGTATCTAATTATGAACCACACTAAACTGTAAGGGCTTGTGATACTAACCAGTTGATCAGGATGAAATAGATGGGTTGGAATATGCATCCATGATCTAGTAGCTAGTAATTGGATGAATAAGCCAACGAGCCACATATCCATAACGAAGTTTCATTATGTCATTAGGCTTAACACAGTATACTATACTATACCTATACTATTTCAATACTCACTAATGACATGATCTTCTTGGCAAAGCACAGTAAAGCGTACCTCTTTGCAGATAATCCTGAAATAATGAATGGATGCTACAATGGGAGCCAAACATGATCTTAAGTGTCTAAGTGCATTCAGCTAAAAAGGGCGACTCTCCCTTCAGCAATACGTGTGGTATAATTTCGGACACATTTTAAGAAAAGTATTACTTTTGAGTATCTGGTAAAAATCTTAATCACATATAAGTTTCAGAACAAGAAATCAACGCTGCATTGACAACTGTACCTTTGATACACATGTAAATATCAATTAAACCAACAAACTATGAATAAATCAATTTTACTGGTAGTGATCCCGCTAATCAATGTCAAAATACCAATTACCTTACATTAAAGCATATGAATACGACTGTGATTAACTTGTTAACACTGTTAAGTCAGAAAAATGATAAGACAGTGTTTCCTGGATAGGGTCGCATGCTCTTAAACATTGTATCCACAACATTAGTGTGAATGTTATGATATACAACAAAAATTACACTTACCGTATAGGATCAACATATTCTGCAGGTACCAACCAAGGCTCACGGCGTTTAGTATCAATGTGAGCATGAGCGCGGAAAAATGGTTGGTAAGCAGCAGCTTGATACCATCTTGTCAGTAACTCAGGATCTGGATTTCCGAAAAATCCTCCAACATCAGCTCCGCTCAATGTCAAACCCGTGACCGATAGACTGAGAAGCATTGGGATTGAAATCTAACAATAAAGTAGAGCATTTCTGAAGTTTAAAAAAGCACGTTACAGGCTAAAATCGATCGAAAGAATGATAAGACTAGACTCATGTAGATGATACTCTTATGACAACTACTGTTAGTCGTTTTCAATAATGTGTATGGATTAATAGCCTTCTCAAAAGTTGCTACCCATCATTTATTAATGGATATACACGCAAATTTAAAGAACAAATAACGATTATTTTATGTGGATGGAATAGCTAACTAAATACAGTTGCGAAAGAAACTACTCTAAGGATTATTTAAAAAACATAGGCGAATATTACACCAACCAAAGTAACCACTTGTTGACTGTAAATCTTTAGTCTTCACCACTACTATGCAACCTACTTGGTCAACAACTTAACGTGGAACCTTATACAGAAGTCCACAAGTAAAAAATACCTTTAGGTGTCCCCAATCTGCGGTATTATCTCCGGTCCAAACAGCTGCTGTCCTCTGAGATCCAGCAAAAAATGCCCGAGAGAGTACAAAGGGACGCTCCATACCATTTGCCCGTAACATTTGCCCATTCCAAGTTGCTTGGTGAACGTACAAACCATACAAGTTGTGTATGTCACGATGTTCCCAATTATTTGCATGTTTAGCATCCTGAGAGTGGGGAAAAACAATATAGGATTATCAAGAAAGTACAAGGCCGACAATCTGAAGACAACTAGAAAGATATGTGGTAATAAAAAGGTATTACGCAATGCAACAGAAATTTAAAAGTGATGATGTACTAAGTGTTAAATGATGTTTATAACAATGATTCAATAGTATTCTATACATGCACACACCTTTGGCATATTAATCACAAGCATTCGTTAAAAGTGAGTAATATCAAAGGTGTGAATTGTTCTCAAAACATTAAGTTACTTGAAGTGCGTAGCATACATATGCTTATCAGTCAAAGGTCAAGTTTACTGTAGAGAATAAATGTATTCATCTATAATAATTTTCTGTTGCTAACATTTGTTTATCTGAAAACAACACTTTTCTTTTAATTATACGGGTGGTTAATAACTTTTCTAACGACTCGGCGTGTTACTCAGATGTGTCGCAAAATTCTTTTGAACTAAACTGAAACACTTCCATGTTAGCTAAATGCAAAAGAACTATTTCAGGGATCCAGGTGAGTACAGAAACATATCTGATGTTTTGTAAATAGCATGCCTTAATATCTCCTGATAACGGCAAAAGAAATACGTTACTTGGATTACGAATTGAAAGCAACTGCGAAACTTTAATGAAATTTTGAACCAGGGGATCCAGACATAAGTTTATAAATAATATGACTTTTCATTGTTTTAATTAAGCCAATTACCAAATAAATGGGAGGCAAATACAAGAAGTCGTTAGTTTAGGTGATATGACTACAGTTCTATCTAACACCCGAGAAGTTCTTGGTGAACAATTAGTTGGTGAATCAATATTACTTCGACAAAATTAAAGAATTCACTAGAACAACCTGATAAATGAGATAGGGTTAATGGAATTTTACAAAATAGTATACTGAAAAATAATAAAAAATGAAATGTGAGGAAAATTAACCTAACATATGATTAGAAAACAATATAAAACGCACTCATGAATTGTGTTAATGTTTTGTTAATGTGCTAACAGTTTTCAGTTTATCTTATTTCGTGTATGTGATCATGAGATGAATGAGGAGATAATTAAACTAAGAGGTGGTTATCCTAGATCACTTTTACTCCGAGTCTTGCAAGTAGGAATAAGTTTGAATTCTAAATTTATAAAAGTTATCAGCGAGAAAAGTTTAGTATTTCAACTACTTGAGCCCTCTGCAACCATTAGTTCAAAATTGAATAATTCCTTTTTGCGATTACCTTGTTGATGATCATAACGTGTACACAGATGAATGTATATAACGTCAAAATTTACCCTTTGGATTTAGTGTCTACCACATGACCTTCCCCGATAATAAACTTACAAGTATAATAGTGCAAACGTTTTACACCTTCGAATAAGTTATGAACATGGAAACCTCAAAAAACATTAAAACTAAAAGCTAATGTCAACGAACTTTATGCATAGTGACTTCCGGACCGTTGAAAACTGATGGTTCCCCCATGTCATTCCAAGTAAACATTGTATCTTTGCGAATAGGTTCATAAGTTAGGAATTGATTTGACCACCACTGTCGAACAGTTTCGTCAGTAAAATCAGGCCATGCGCTAGAACCAGGCCAGCACCAACCATCATATTCAGTACCATCCCTGGTTTTTACGAAAATCCCACTGTTCTGAGAGTTACTAGATAGACGAACAATAAAAACAGAAGAAAATTGATCTTGGTGAGACAGGGAAAGATTTATAAAACATGCAGAAGTCTAATGTCTGCTGACACTCATATTGTGCAGCAACTTCATAATCTAAGTAACATGAAAAATGGGGAATTTTAGCCAGGAAACCTACTAAAATTTAATACTTCTATGATATAATAAGAAGTATTAAGCCCTATATATTCTAAATTGATGGATCAGGTGAAATTAGGACTTGCACAGTTGTTTCATTATTGTACATAAGCCCCTGTTGTTATTATTCGTAACATGTAACTCACATTACTTAATACATGAATTCAGTCAGCGTTTGAGCACCACCTTGATAACTTTAAATTACTATGAACAATATTATCACACTATTATAAACTAACACAATCAGCAGAATCTCGTAAAACATGCTTAGAGCAGCTTTGTTCAAATCTCATTTGTGCAAATGCCCAGAAAAAATATACGGAAATGTACACATCGCAAGATTTACCGACCTATGATGAGTAGATAACAGTCTCAAAAATATATACGGACTTCAGATACGACTACCCAATTGAACCAGTTTTCGTATACCCACCTTCTTTACTCATAGCATTTATTGTTTGAGGAAACATTACGACAAGCTATAATTTATTGAACATCACAGACGAAAGAATACAGACTATAGTTCCCCACTAAAATTACACTAAACAAATTTACAGCTTTCTTACTCCCTTTTACTTCCACAAACTGCAATTGTATCATGCGTTTAAATAACGGGCACACTTATTAGCTCGAAAGTTAGTACTAGATTCTACCTCCTTCAAAAGACTCTTTACAGAGTATCCAAAGTCCTCACCCGATTATTTTACAATATAATGACTTCGAAATATTATATATAATATGATATATATATATATATATATATATTAATGGGATTTTTACGCACAGTGAATCATCTAAAGAACAATTACAACTTTCTAAACTCAACGATACTGGGTGATTTTGCAATGGCCCATAGGATTTAGGAATGAGACTTTTCCAAGATACTGACTCAGATATCCGAAAACCCGATGTAATTCCCTCATGAATCCGTTTTCGAGTGGTACATATTGGCTAGAATATCTTTGTCGGGGTCTGCATAAACAATATATTGATCGAATGCTGCAAAATCCATTTAATAAATTCTTTTTGTTTGACTTCTATTACATACTACAGACTGAGCTATTGCTTTTGGAGGATTGAGTAGTAGACAGAAGTGAATGAACCACCCTTATCAGTTTTCTTCGTTTTGCTCCTGAGGTGTGCCAACTTCTCAAAAAGAACTCGAAGTATTAGAATTAGACAACCGAATCGTAAAATAGGTGAGAAAAATTAGATGAGCATGCAACCTATTATTTCTACCTAGATTGTAGATTTCATGATAAGTGTAAAACCGGCTAGGTAAACGCAATTACTTGACATAAAACCTACAGGTATTTTAGAATATTATGAGAAATTTGATGGAAATGAATACTGAGAGTTCAAAAACTATCCATACTAAAAGAAACAACACTAAATTGAAGGTGTGACGCACAAAAGTAACAAAGGAATCTTACCTAAATAAGGGCCAGTTTAAATCGCGTTTAATATGAGGATCAACAACTGTGACAAGCTTTCGACCTTTGACATTTAATTTATCAACCATTTCTCCAGGATTAGGGAATTTGTTTAGATCCCATGTGAAGTAACGCTTTCCGTCTGTATGCTCAATATCTAACCATAAAACATCAACAGGAATTTCATATTCATCGAAATGCTTATCCACCGTGAGTACATCAGCCTCATCATTATAATTCCATCGACACTGATGATAACCTATAGCAAACAGCGGCGGTAATTTTGTTGTTCCCACCAGATAAGCATATGCGCTCATTACTTCAGAGGGAACATGACCCATAAAAACATATAAATCTACCAAACCAGACTCTGATATCCATCTAGTTTCCACACGAGTTTCCTGAGATGTTTTCGCGAAGAAATTCGGGATTCTAGAGAATAGGCCATTGGTTTCTGAATTCGAGTACTCGATATCAATCCACGTTTCTGATGGATTGAGCCACAAAATACCAACTGTATGATTTTGATTATGCCCCCATAAAACAGGAACAGAGCCATACAGGGCCATAGGATTGTTTAACTCGTATTCGAAAACATCAAGATTGTAAAGCCTGTATGGATCGCCGTTGCTTGTTGATTTTAGCACAAATCCATCAGCATGTTCTGGAATGCCATAAACGTGATTGAACCCATGAAAGTCAAAGTCCAATGAAATCGAATTCAATCCATGAGGCCTTGAGTCAAGATGTTCTTTGAAGTGCTCAGACCATGTTGGATCACTAGAAACTGTATCTTGTGAACTAGAATGTGGTTGTTGTTCATCAACTTTGTTTTCATCAACTGTTGCAGTGTCTTTGGGGACATCTGAATCACTTGAGGATTTGTCATAGTCTTTGACGGATGAGGTATCTAGATTGTGAGTCTCACCAGAAGTGTGATTATTCTCTTCAGTCGACTGTTTTTCGACAACAGGTTTATTTCTCTGATGCTCAAAATGTAGAAGATTCCTTCTATTAACTGAAGCCACAACAGTATTATCCAACAAAAAATCAATGTGGAAAGGTTTATAATGCACAACCGCTTTATCTCCAGAATTTCCTTGTAGCACTACATTGGTTGTATTAACCATTGATTTAACAGGTGCTTCCTGGACACTTTTCAAGATTACATCGCCTGAAGGCACACGAAACCGTTTAAACTCATTTGTAAGCTCATCGATGAACACATGAAAGATGGAGTGTTGATGATAAGAAATATTTAATAAAAGTGAGTGATTTTGATCCTGAGTTTGAATAATAGCAGTCATACCATACGAATTCGTTATGATGGAGTTTGGTTCCAACCAGTAGTCTAGACTGTTAGCTTTCAATTTTCGCTGTCGAGTGCAAAACCTAAAGCATAAATTAACTTAGACCATAAGATGTACTTACGAGCTCTGGTCACATGTCTTGAAATTCGACCGGTCAACAGACCAAGAAGTATTTGCCAGCAGGAAAAGTAGACACAATCTGATAAGCTTGAAAACCATGGCTGGAACGTAATGTCTAAGAGATTTTTAGTTTTCTTTATTAGTCTGTAGTGTCTTATTTCCCAGATAGCTGATGGAGTAGAACGTCTGTATATTGGCGGTGGAAATCCACACAACCAGCACGTGAGCCTAAAAATAACAAAATGAGTTGCTAAGAGTTTGTTTGTAAGGATATAACTTATTTGGAGTTTGGTCACAAATTGATATCAGTTAGAGAGCCGTTGAGAATTGGTAGAATTTATGGGTCATTGAGTCGGGACCCTATGGCTGAATAGTTTACGAGCTTGCCTTGTAACCAGAGGGTCCTGGGTTCCAGCCCCATTGGATGTATACCGCCAATGAGTCCCAAACTATGACGAAACAGCTGTCCTGTTCCCTAACTTATATCAATCCGCGATAAAACTTTTAAAAAATGAGCATTGATACGTAAGATGGAATCCCAATAAATTCAGAAAAATAATAATTAGGGAAACCAGTTAATTAATAAACTAATGATTAGCGTATGCAATTCAGACAGATACGAACAACGTAGTACTTAAAAAGACTACACATCGACTTAATTCATAAAAATATACACCAGCACGTTAAAGTAGTAGTCAAAGACAAGATCAAAAATGTCACAACAGTATGAAAGAAAGTGACTAATCACTAATCACCAAATACATGATATTACAGTTCAGATCGCAGAAGGTTATGAATATCGTATTTTTTAATGATTCATTGTTAGACTTAAACTAAGTTTTTCGGACTTGGTCGAAGAAGCCTATCCTAGCTTACTACATACTTCATCCTCAGCTTCTTGTCGTCTTGATTCCACCCTAACTGGAACAGTATGTCAGTTCGTAAGTGTGCGAAACCAATGCCCCAGACACTTCAGCTAACAAGAAGTTTTATAACGTTGTTAACTGACCTATCATCCCTGTCGTATCTTATAAAAATTTACGCATAATATTTGGGAACACCGAAGTAATGCTGGTCGTGGCAGAAGTATTGATCAGTTTCCAGAAAATCTTAAGCCTACGGCTATCTTTACACCCTCGTGATAATAACTTAAGGAGAGATTGGTTCTGATCTCAGTTTATCTATGGCAATTAAGACTTTACCAGGAGTTGCAGGTTTTGCGACAGTGAGGTGTCCGAAGAAGGAATGGATAGCCAGTCGGTGGTATGTTCTGTTCATTAATTTAGTGAACTTTTAAACTCCCTTCAACGTCAGCCAGTTCCCTTCAACATAACTGTCCACCACTGCACTTCGTCCCTAATTTGCTAGGCCCTCGCTGCTAATAAACATAACTGATAATATATGCGCTAATCATATCTAGGTGACATTTCCAAATGTTGAAAAACTGTCATCATAAAAATCACTCTTAATTTAACCAGTGTACTAATTTGGACTAGTATACAGCTATGCTAGGTCCTACCTTGCGGTTGAAATATGAAGAATGTTCCGAATTCTTTCGAAGATTTTAGGAAGTCCACATTCAGATGGTGAATTATTTGGTGATGATTTAAGCCTCGCAAAGGGAACGACTTATAATTGCGACCCACGAGTTGTAAAGAGGACACCTAATTCAGTGGAATAAATGCAATACCAAAGCGAAAAACTGTCCCAAAAGTAGCGATTATAACACTGAAATTTTTAACTGTAATGACTTCAAGTTCACTGATCACTAAACAGCAGTTAAGAGTAAATCAATTTATTGATTCAAGAGAACAGTATTGAAGGAAGTCTTAATAAAATATCGTTTGAAATCAGATTATCTTGTCCGACTTTTGAGGCCAACGTTAATATCTGAACGACTTCAAAGGTGACAGACTGGCTAGGCATGGCGCACAAAGTGGCTACTGAAGATTAGTACAAGTGTGCGTGTTCTCACTCACAATGGTAGGGACACTCTGAATAATAGCTTGACTGATAACTCTGATACAAAAGTTATTTCGTAGGAAGACTAATGTGTTATTCTACAAAATAACTTCAACACTGCATCAAAAACCAAGGATTTGGAGATACTGGATTTTTCACGACACCATTTAAAACTGTGACAAAGAGATGTGATTTAGCCTTCATTAGGGTTATTTCACTTGATCAGAAAGCATGTTTTTGAATTTACAGAGTAGAGACTGGTGGGATCAAAACATTTTCAAGCTTTCCGCATGACATCCACTTCGTCCAAATCATTTTAATCTCCTTGACGAATTGGCTGATGAGAGATTACAAACTAGTGTCTTTTGGTCACAGTACTGCTTTTAAAGTTATATGCTGCATTGGAAACCACTTGAAATGACATAATACTAAGCCTGAAACGACTATATTCGACTACAGTGAACTTCTCAGCTAGCAATTTTTTCAGGCGCACTGCAGACTTTGGGACAAAAAACCTAGGGTGAATAAACATACATGGAACAGTGTCCTTAAGCCTGCCCTAAAAAGTCTACAATGCGTCCGAAGTCTGCCCGAAAAAAATCTGCAATGCTCCCGAAAGAAATGCTAGCTGAGTTGCAGTTCTTATTAGTGAAATCTTCTAACTGAGCGATTTTCGAGTGAAAAATGAGTTTCTCACCAATCACCGAGTTACATGAGTGAACATAAGCCTTAAATCGCGCAATTTTTAATCTTATGTATGAACATACAATGATATTACTTTCCGTACTCTTCACGTGATGAGTAGTGTAAAAGAGGAACAGAAATGCGACCAACGACCCAATAAAAGTCAGAAGCGCCTTAATAATTTTGATAAACTTGTATAAGGTTACGCAACTAGATGAAAGATAACCCATCAATATGCATAAAGACATCAAAACCCTCGACGTCACCTTTTTCGCGGTCTAACTCCGCGCCAAAAAACAGCTAGTACTTGGCGCAATAATTTAGAATCTTATCGCCACTGTTACAAATTCCAGACAAAATGAATGAAATAATTATCACAATAAACGTCTACAAAAGTAATCAATTAATTCTTGGATTTATTCACTAAATATATCGTGGTGAATTCAGAAACTTTGCTTACTGTGTTAATCACATTTAGAAGCAAGCATAACAGTGTTTAAGATCTGTCCTAACCCTAAGATAAGATAGATAAACAGTCAGAATCATAGCAATACAGATGTAATGGAAATCATCATCCAAACTGTCAGCCACCATAGAGTAATCCACGATAGTAAAATTTGTCGAAGATATCCAATGACTCAATAATCAGAGAAAACTTAAGCTCCTTACTACTTTTTCTAAGAGTAAGTTGAAAGCTCCCTTTATAAGCTTGGTATCTACATCTTTCAGTCAGCGCTAAATGATTTTAGTCCACATCCCTGAGGATATCTCACTTAAGTCTAATGCAATGCCATCATTAAATCTGCAAAATTACCTAAGATCGAGAATCACTTAGATACAGCATTACCATGGTGTTATTTCATCTCATAAATATATTTGATTAAGTTTCTCCCTTCCTTCTAGACCAGTACTGAGTCACTTTAATCCGCCCAGCGGTAGTCATTAATTAAAAATACTTTTGCTCCTATTATTAATTCATTGTAAAACGCATGTTAACATAGTTAACAGGATTCTGGCCTGAGAAAGCCTTTTGTTAACTTAACAGTGAGTGAAACTCAATTCACTCAGGTTGAAATCAACCAGAAACATCAAGATAAAACCACAGTCTCATCGTTCAAATAGTGCTTTACGAGTGGTTGTTGGTCGGCTGAGATACATAAAAATTAAACAGATATCTTGTATGGATAGTTCAGCATAGCTCTATGTTAGGACTTTGAATTCGAACTTGCGCTTTAGAGCTAAAAGGTGCAAAGAAATTGCTGATTGCCCACAAAATTTTACTGCAAAATGATGCTATCTTGAGGGAGACAGTTAAAAAGCCAGAAGCAAACACTGAGGACTGTTTTCAAAGTTTAATAGTAGGCGGAACAACAATCAATTTATATCCAGCGTCCTTATTTGTGTTAGCTTGTTACCCATGGCCGAGGATAAGAATTACTGCTGTGACTGGCTAGCCTGCCGAATGACAAAATACCTCAGCAACACTATCAAATGTTTGGACATTTATTGTATAAATGCTTACTTATCTTCATGCGCCAAGCGAACATGATATATGGTCTCTCTTAGGAGTTGTCTGCCTCTATCCTTTCATTATTTTATATTTTATATATCATACATATATTTGGCATTTTTAATACAACAAAGTGCTCTATATATGTCACAATAAAAGCAAAGTTGGTCATCTAATTAGAAGGCAACTATCTCTTCTCTGTTTCCTTTGTTGATGTTGTTCTCATTGTTTGTCCGTTATTTTCTGATTTTGAGGGGAGCAACCCAAAAAGTTGCTTCTCTCTAAACTTTTACTTAATGTAATCATTCTTTTCTCAGGCGTGAGGCTAGCAACCCCACCCTGTAAACAAAATTGCTAAAGAAACTTCAGTATGATGAACCTCCTTGCACCAAAAGAAAAAGTCTGTGTAGGAACATGGAACGTCCGAACTATGTACGAGACTGGGAAAGCTGCCCAGATCGCCAACGAGATGAAAAGATACGGAATACAAGTGCTGGGAATATGTGAGAGCAGATGGAATGGGAGTGGACTCACCAAATTGTCAACAGGTGAGTCAGTGATCTACTCCGGTCACCCAGAAGATAACCACACGCACACCGAGGGCGTGGCTATCATGATGTCACCAACGGCAACGAAAGCCCTGATACAATGGGAGGCGATTTCGTCCAGGATAATGACCGCCAGGTTCAACTCCAAAGGAAGGAAAGTGTCAATCATACAATGTTATGCACCCACAAACAACGCAGACCTCGAGAAGAAAGAAGAATTCTACAGGCAACTACAGGCAACAATGGACAATACTCCAGCTGGCGACATGAAAATACTAATGGGAGACATGAACGCCAAACTGGGACCAGACAATACGGGAAGGGAACTCATCATGGGTAGAGAAGCTCTAGGAGAAATGAATGAAAACGGAGAACTCTTCGCCGACTTCTGCGCCTTCAACGAACTGGTGATTGGTGGCAGTGTATACAAGCACAAAGATATCCACAAGGCTACATGGGTGTCACCAGACGGGCAAACCAAAAACCAAATCGACTTCATCTCAATCTCAAGGAAGTGGAGGCGCAGCCTACTGGACACAAAAGCAAGAAGAGGAGCAGACGTTGGCTCAGACCACTATCTCGTACAAGGGACAATCCAAATCAAATTAAAAGCTTTCAGGGAATCAGGAGCTGCAGATAGACCACAAGCCAAGTTCAACACTCAAAAGCTGAAGGACCAGGCTACAAAGGACATCTTCATTGCAAGCATAAAGGACAAAGCTGAGACACAAATCAACACCAGCGAAAGGTCAGCGTCGAAAAGCACTGGAACAACTTGAAAACGGTGTGGAGCCAAACCTGCATAGAAATTCTAGGCAGAAAAAAGAGACAGGACAAACAGTGGCTCACTACGGACACTTGGAAACTAATAGAAGAGAGAAGGACAGTGAAGCAAAAGATTATCCAGTGCACTGACGAGCAACAAAAACAGGAGCTGAATGCAAGCTACAATACACTGAACAAAAGAGTGAAGAAAAGTGCCAGGGAAGACAAAAGAAAATATTATGAAACCATGGCAAACGAAGCAGAACAAGCTGCAGGCAAAGGAGACCTCGCCACACTCTACCAAACAACTAGGAACCTTTCGGGCAAACGTTCGACACAGATTAAGCCAATAAAGGACGACAATGGAAAGTCAATCACCAAAGAGGTGGAACAGAGAAAGCACTGGGTTGAACACTTCAAAAGACTTCTAAATCGTCCGCCACCTACAACACGTCCAGCAATACCAACAACGGAAGCAGAACTACCAGTGAACACTGACCCCCCGACGAAATCAGAAGTCCTGAATGCAATCAAGATGCTTAAAGCTGGGAAAACACCGGGACCAGATGGAATCCCAGCAGAGGCTTTGAAAATAGACCCAGAGACAACAGCGGACTTGATGACACCACTGCTGGAGAAGGTGTGGAAAGAGGGCAAAGTACCCGAGGATTGGAAGAACAGTTACTTATTCAAACTTCCAAAGAAAGGAGACTTAAGTCAATGTAAAAACTGGCGTGGAATTATGCTTCTGTCCATTCCAAGCAAGATACTAAGTCGCATCATCCTGGAGAGAATCAAACAAGCCCTAGATGAAAAACTTCGTCCGGAACAGGCTGGATTCAGGAGAAACAAATCATGTATTGATCAAATCGCCACTCTACGGATCATCATTGAACAAAGCTTGGAATGGCAGTCACCTCTCTATCTCAACTTCATCGACTTTGAAAAGGCCTTCGACAGCGTCGATCGAGAGGTCATTTGGAAACTACTTCGCTACTACGGGGTCCCATCGACAATTATACACCTCATCCAACAGTTATACGACAATGCTGCATGCCAAGTAATCCACAACGGGAAACTTACGGAAGCCTTCGAAGTGAGGACGGGAGTGAGGCAAGGCTGTCTACTATCACCAATGATCTTCCTGATTGCAATTGATTGGATAATGCGACAGACAACGGCAACCAACGAGGGAACAGGCATAAAATGGACTGACACAAAAGACTTGGAGGATCTGGATTTCGCCGATGATATATGTCTGATTTCCCATAAACTGGAAGATATGCAAGTGAAAAGTAACAAGTTGGCAGAAGAAGCATCAAAGATAGGACTTCACGTGAACATAGATAAAACAGAGATGATGAAGATTCCTAGCCAACATCAACAACACCAACAGACCACAATAAGCATAAATGGGAAGAACCTGAAAGAAACAACCTCCTTCACCTACCTGGGAAGCATCGTCTCAACTACAGGCGGAACTGACGAGGACATCAAAGCCAGAATCGGAAAAGCAAGACAAGCTTTCATTACTCTCAAATCTGTGTGGAGGTCAACAGCAATCAGCATCAAAAATAAGATCCGGATTTTCAACTCCAATGTGAAGTCAGTGCTACTATACGGATCAGAGACTTGGCGAGTCATAAAGAGCATCTCAAACAAACTTCAAACCTTCATTAACAACTGTCTCCGCTCAATACTCAAGATCAGATGGCCAGAAAAGATCAGCAACAGGGATCTCTGGGAGCGAACCAATCAGGAACCGATTGTGAAACAAATAGGCAGAAAGAAATGGAGATGGATTGGCCATACGCTGAGGAAACCATCAAGTGACATCACTAGACAAGCCCTCGAGTGGAACCCGAAAGGGAGGCGGCGAGTTGGTCGTCCAAGGGTGACTTGGAGGAGGTCATGCGAGGAGGAGATGAAAGCATGTGGACAGACCTGGAGCAGGTTGAAAAAGTTGTCAGAAAACCGAAGTCAATGGAGGTGCGCAGCTGAAGCCCTATGTTCCTCTAGGAACTAAAGGATATAATAATAATAATATATCTCTTCTCTGAGTCCCCTTGCCTTCCGAGTGGCTTAAGATGAACTTTTCTGTATTGGAACAGGATGCCATTCCAACTTTCTCCCGAACATGTTACATCGGCACAAGATTCACCATGGGTATTTATAATTTCTTACAAGATAGTGTTTGGTCGTTTTGGTCACTAGTTACCGTAACCAAAATAAGTTCCTCCTAAAATCATACCACAATATGAGATATGCTGTCAGCCAACTCTCAGAAACTTTCAATGACCGGCTCTTACTACGCTGGACCTCACGCTGTCCCTGGAAGACTTTCAGAAACAATTCCTAATAACCAACTCGAAAGCCCGAACACAGACTGGCGACTCGAGAATCCTTTATTCTAACGCCAATATGTAACCCAAAATAGGGTTATTAAACACAAGTTTTCCAATAGTT